AAGTAAAAATTTCTTGCGGCCATAAAAACTTGGGAGCGGGCCGTAAAACGGGTGCCAAATGTCATTGCAAGGGCTTATTAAGTACCTACTCCGAGATTTTATTGGATTTTCTGCTTTGTGGCAACTTTCAAGAGACTTTAAGGGGACTTTAGGACAGTATGAAAATATCTTGAGACAATTTTTTTTTTTTAATTTAAAAAAATAATAAAAGATTTTTTTGAATTCCGAAAAATGAGATTTTTAAAATTTTCATAGGCCAAGAAGGCCAAATAAAAATTTAAAAAATCTTGTATCTAATAATTTTCATGATCAATCGAGATGTTCAGAGTCGTCTTTGCAGACGAGAGACTATACAAAATTAGGAGAGGCGACTAGAGAAAAGAAATTTTTAATTCATATTTTTTTTATTTTTGAGCGAAAAATTCTTGTTAATTTTTTAAAAAAAAAATCTATGTACTAGTTGAGATATAGAATAAATAAAATTACATTTTTAAACCTCAAAAATAAAAAAAAAATTTTTGTAATTTTTTATCCAAAAATCTCAAAAAATAAATTTTTCATTTCATGATTCAAATGTGACTTGCAAAAATCTAATCTAAATTTATCCCAACTTTGATCGAAATCCCTAGATTCCACATTCGACACATTCAGCTGCAAGTATTATATATATGTATAGTATGTATATAATAAATTCTTATTTTTTTTTATTTTTGGGCGAAAAATTCTTGTTTTATTTTTTATAAAAATTCTGTGTACTAGTTGAGATATAGAAAAAATAAAATGACAACTTTCAACCCCAAAAATAAAATTTTTTTTGGCAATTTTTACTCAAAATCTCAAAAAATAAATTTTTCATTTCATGTTTCAAATGTGACTTGCAAAAATCTAATCTAAATTTATCCAAACTTTGATCAAAATATATTGATCCCACATTCCGCTGCAAATATTATATATGTACATAATAAATATTATAATTGAAAAAATCCACGTAATCAAGCCCTCTCTATTTCCTCTTTTCCCAATTTTTATATACTTCCAAAATCCTCTCCACTAATCACTGACCGGGGGCCTGTCAAATCCAAAAAGATGACCCACATTATAAAAAAGCGATTGGCCGAGATTGATCTGCCCGTCCCAGCGGATCTCCTCTTCTTTTCAGAACACCAAAAAGCTAGGAAAACAACAAAAAATATATAATAGTATTGGGTTTACAGAGGTACGTACTTCAACTGCGACGCTCAGATTTTAGCGAAAATTGGCAAAAATTTTGAAATAATCGTTTTTTTAAATATTAAATTGAATGTAATAGAAAATGATGATTGACTGGCAAGCTGCCATTTTTTACTATGTCTGTCCTTGCCATTTAGTTTTCCGGAAACGCGCTGGAATGATTTCGGCGGCATGCACTGTGAGAAAACAAAAGTGCACCTTGCATCGTGCAAAAGGCTTTTTTTTGGCTGTCGCTTGCATACTAACTCTTTTTTCACTTTGCAAACGCCAAAATCATCCCGTAGAGAACGGGATTTTATAAAAAATATTGCGACAAAAAGTCATCGTATAAAATGTCCCCATCTTGAAGAAATTTTGTTTCAATCCAATGGAAGATTTTGTACAACACGAGTGTTCGTTGCTCTTTTTTTGCTTGGCACGACACATGTCTGAAGTTTGATCTTTGAAGAGAAACTTTGAAGACTACAATTTTTGTGACATAAATCCACTTTGAAGTGGGCAACAATGTGATCGGACCGGTCTTATTGACAGGCCAAAAAGATAAACATGTCGGGGATGCACTTTACTTGGACATGTCGAGACTTGAAAATAAGCCATTATATACTGCGCGTCAAAAGTTTGGAACAGGCCAGATCTTCTTTGCGGCTTGAGATGGGAGTTTCATTTCTTTTTTATTAGAAGCTCCATGTATTAAGAACCTCAATGAATACATAGCCATGGAAATCAGAAAGCTCGTTGGAATTTTAAAAAAAAATTAAAAAAATAAGTGCGTCAAAAGTTTGGAACAGCTTTTGGAAGGTGATTATAAACTTCGGGATGGAGGCAGGTATCCTCGCATTTAGTGTTTCTGGATGATATATGGAATCGGCATGCCAATGGCATACTGATTTTCATCGATAAACCCAAAATGAAAAAAATGCTTATTGAGTCAAAAACTACGGTCAAATTTGCGAAAAAATGAATTTTTTGGGTTGGGTTCTCTATGTTATCGGTGTGTAAGCGTTCTAAAATATTTAATGTGGTCGCACAATTGTACAAGGGCACTCAGATCTTCGCATAGGAACCATATCCGCACAGCATAATTTGTGAAAATTTTGAGTATTGCTATAAATCTTTATTTAATGTATTTTATATTTTTCATAGAGCGGCTTGGAGGCTAATTGGCTTGGACACCGTTATCGTGGAATAAAAAGGTGTCTTTAAGAAGCAGAACCTGGCCACTATTTGCAACATCAAGGCCACATCTTTAAAAATAGCGGGTATATGAAATGTTAATATTCCTATATTTTTTATCTTGGATTTGATGCCGCTGCATGGCTCAAAACTAAGTGCCTTTATCGTTATCACACGGATACAGTATTATAAACCAACTCTCCGAATTATCCCGCCACAAATCCGGGTCAGATATGAATATTGATTTTGGGGACAAAAATTTTTTTAATATCTGAAAGATGTGGCCTTAGATGTTGCAAGTAGCGTGGGTTTTTGTTTCTTGAAGACACCTTTTTATTCCCCGATAACGGTGTCCAAGCCAATTAGCCTCCAAGCCGCTCTATGAAAAATATAAAATACATTAAATAAAGATTCATAGCAAAACTCAAAATTTTCATAAATTATGCTGTGCGGATATGGTTCCTATGCGAAGATCTGAGTGCCCTTGTACAATTGTGCGACCACATTAAATATTTTAGAACGCTTACACACCGATAACATAGAGAACCCAACCCAAAAAATTCATTTTTTCGCAAATTTGACCGTAGTTTTTGACTCAATAAGCATTTTTTTCATTTTGGGTTTATCGATGAAAATCAGTATGCCATTGGCATGCCGATTCCATATATCATCCAGAAACACTAAATGCGAGGATACCTGCCTCCATCCCGAAGTTTATAATCACCTTCCAAAAGCTGTTCCAAACTTTTGACGCACTTATTTTTTTAATTTTTTTAAAATTCCAACGAGCTTTCTGATTTCCATGGCTATGTATTCATTGAGGTTCTTAATACATGGAGCTTCTAATAAAAAAGAAACGAAACTCCCATCTCAAGCCGCAAAGAAGATCTGGCCTGTTCCAAACTTTTGACGCGCAGTATAAGCTATGAGGAAAGGGGATTGCCTAAGGGCTTTTGCCTTGTTGTTAGAAGAAAATATTCTCGAATAAACAACCTTATGAAAGTAAATAATCTTGTCTATATATGAGGCATAGAAATTTGCAAAATTTCTTTGTTTTTATTGCCAGTCTATATGGAAAATAGTAGCTGGACGTCACACGTCAAACTGAGGAGTCCGGTCACCGGAATAGACTCTTCGCTATCGGTTTTTTACACTTCGTCTTGATTTCGCAGAGAAAGAGAGATAAAACACACGCAAAAACGTACTCTCTCGCCCCAAAAATTCCCCATTTCTTCCCCGACAAAACGTTTTTTCGCGTCTTTTTTTGACAAATTGCCATCCATTCACCTACTGTTTTAGCTTATCTCAGTTTGACGTGGCGTCATAACTTGGAATTTCTCACCATCGCCTTGCAACGGCTAGCCGAAGCTGAAAACCTGGCACCCTTTTTTCTTTCACGTTTTGCTGCGATGACTTGCCACTATTTTCCCGACAGACTGGTTCAAAGCACAGACTAGCAATCTCGCATATGCTTGACAAAAATTCGGTCAAAATTTGCATCAGTGTTAGTCAACATCGGACTGCCAAATCCCAAGGCATACTGTATACATACATATTACTCTGTCGGGAAAATAATGAGCACAATTTTGCTGTGACGATCGCTGAAGTGAAAAGCAATTTGATTTTGCCGCAACACAATTCATTTTCTCGACGGCGATGTGATTTTCGATGCGACAGAGTGCTCATTATTTTCCCGACAGATTTTCATTTTGCAGGCTATCTCATCATTCCTTCCAAAAATAAATTAAAATGCAAAAAAGTTTCCTGGAAATGCAATTATTGAGTCAATTCCAAAGTTTAAAGAACAGTGTTACCCTCCCCCCTTCCCCACGGATCAATTACGTCTAATCTAAAATAAATGTATCCTTTCCCGGCCTTTTTTGCGTCAAGAAGAGCTTAAAAAAATATTTCCGCATTTCCCGAACCGTCTACAACAATAAAATGCCCAAGGCGTTTAATTAAAAACTTTTTTCATCGCGATAACGGCGCCCAAAAAACCGGGGCCAAGCCCCGAGTTGCAGTTGGTCAGCTGTCCTCCGAAATGTCTTGAGATCCCGGTCCTTGGATGGGAAATGGATAGCGAAAAGATAACAAATCAAGGATCATATCATACTATAGTCTTTTCTATCTGATGATAAAAAACTGAAGAGCACGTGTCGGGGAAACTGGAGGGTAATTTAGAAAAAGATAGTAATCAAAATTTATTTTATAATATGTATATGGAAACCGCAGAAAATTCTATATGACATGTTTTTTTTGCATTTGATTAGAGTAAATAAATTGAAATTGAATTGAAATTTTCAGCCTATGTTTACATTAAAATTCGTCCCAGCAGCAACAATAAAAGCCGAGAACTTCCGTCATCATTTTTATCATCACAACATAATTTTTTGTTGGTGTATTTCTGGCCGGATTCTAAACTCGATTCGACTCATTCAGCATCAATATGTCTGACGAGTTCTTTCAAAGCTCTTGCATGCCCTTTCCCAAAATTATGTAAATAAAAAACACTCCCAAAACGCAAAACTTTTCGAATTTCCTTCATTTTGAATTTTTACGCGCCTCCGATCAGTCGCTTTCCACTGAATTCTTCGGAAATGGCATCTGAACTTCCAGCATCGACCTTGTCCACCGCCGGAGGTGGAGCTCCATCTGAGACAATTCCGGAATCTTCGGCGGTCGATTCATCCAAAATGGGAAAGGTGAGTTGACCAAAAAAATAATTTTGTCAATTTTTGATAAAAAAAGTCTTGGTTTGCCTGTGCAGGCTAAAAATTGCGTGTAAGAATGAGAAGATCTCACAATCAGACATATTTTGGGCTAAGTTTCGGCGTAAGATGAGGTCTTGCTTTGTGATTTTCCTTATTCTTTTCATTCAGTAAATTGTATTGATGAGAATAGACTACGTGGAATGTTACAATGAAAACCGAAGATTTGTTGGTGTAAACTTGGGTGATGAGGTTTTTGCGAATACCCTCGGAGCATTCCAAACTAGCGCTTCCCATACGGGCCTCATCCAGGGGACCCTGTTTCTCGCGCGACTGGCCAATTTGCCATAGTCCCCATTTTCCTGCCGCAAGAAAAACTAATGCTTATTTTTTCAGCCAGGACGCCACGTTGTCGTCAAAAGAAACTTTCGACCCGAGGATGACCCGCAGTTCTCCTGCTGCATCAAACTCAGTCTTCATGTAAGTAAAAAATATTCGAAACATCCAATTTAATGATCTTTTTCAGCGCTCGGTAATCGTCATTTCGTCGATCATGCTGCCGCTTTGTGTCTTTTTTACAGTTATCTATGCTGTGCAATCGTTTCTTGCTACAAGTTCCGATGGAAAAGTCGGAGATGATTTTGCTGCTGCGGTGATGATGATCATGGCGTATGGATGTTTGTTGGTGGGAAGTGTCTGGAGAATCGAGAAACTTTATTGGGCTTATGCGATTTTCTCGGTAAGTGGAGCCAAAATTTCAAAAAAATGATTTATCTCCCGTTTTGGCCGAATCTACAAAATTTATTATCTATATACATATATACATCTTTTATTTCAGACATTGTTTCTCATAATTACACTCTATGCGATGGGCGAATCGATTGCGATGGCTTGCTCACACCTTTTGGGAGACCTCCGTATACATACAACCGAAGCTGGCCAAGAAAAGAACACCTCCGCAGGAAAACGACATCTGATGTATCTGATGGTCCTTAGTTTCATCGCATCCGTGTATTTTTACTTGTTCTACATTGTCTGGAGGGACTACAAGTTTGTCAAAGAGTACCCGAGAAAGAAGAAAGTGGTAGAGAGTACCGAAAGCGAGAAACTGCTCAATTAAAATTCGATTATTTTGTGGAATAAAATTGGAATTTTTCGAGGGGAATAAACGTTTTTTAAAAATTGGTTCTACGGTGTTTGAAATTTTTACAACGAAAGTCAAAGTTTAATGCAGTATTTTAAAGGTCCCAGAAGCCAGTTTTAGGCGGGCATATACAGTGAGGGACCTGATCCAATGGCATAAAACGTCTCCTTTTGCATCCCGGAAGGGATCAAAATGACTCCAAACCATTCCCTTCTCTAAGCTAAAAAACTCCGCTTTGAAAAGCGCGCCCTTTCCTTCAACGCGGGCTCTTCAAAGCGGAAGTTTTTTAGCTTACTAGGGAAGTGTACAAACGAACCCTCGCCAAATGGCAAGTGTTGGAGAGCCCTTGAAAAATGGTGCAAGGCACTATTTTCATTTTTTGCAGAATGCCTCAGGGCAAAAAGTTATAAACGGTATATTTGTCCCTTAAGTAGTCACAATATCTGATTCCAAACACTCTATGGGGCAAAATAAATGTTATTTTAAAACGCTAAGTGGTACGTATTGCTACTAGGTTGACCTAAGAATCATTATGAAGTTTGGCGCTTGCCAGTAAAACCATTTTACATGTGATATTTACTGGTTTTAAATACCCATAAGGTGAAAAAACATTTTTTACTTTTTTTAATTTTGAAAAACATGTAAGTTTGACGGTTTTAACCGTAATCGACCGTCTTTCAGAAAAATTAAAACTTTTGTAAAAGATTAACGCAAATATTTTCCTAGCTGTAAAAACGCAAAAATGATTTTGCCCAAATTGGGAATTGAACCTGGCTTGTTTTGGCTTATCAGCCGACTCAGCAACCGCTCCACTATTGAAGCAACCCTCACCGAGGATTTTTTCCTGCCCAAGAAAAAGAAAGATTTTTGTTTCAAAATGACCTAAAAATAATACAGTTTACAGTATGTCGTCGCGGAAAAGCCATTCTGCAAAAAATGAACATGGTGCCTTGCACCATTTTTCAAGGGCTCTTCAATGATGTATGTCGCTTATCATTTGGTGAGGGTTCGTATGTACACTTCCCTAGTTAGAGAAGAGAATCGTTTGGAGACATTTTGGTCCCTTTCGGGATACAAAATGAGACGTTTTTTGCCATTGGATCCGGTTCCTCACTGTACCTTAATACAAGCCGAGAGTTAAGCAAGATCTCCACCCAAAAAATACATATATGTATGGCTTGTATGCCCCAAAATTTACATAAAAAATCATTCCAAAAACGCAAGACTTTTTGAATTTCCCTTCATTTTGAATTTTTACGCGCCTCCGATCAGTCGCTTTCCACTGAATTCTTCGGAAATGGCATCTGAACTTCCAGCATCGACCTTGTCCACCGCCGGAGGTGGGGCTCCAGCTGAGACAGTTCCGGAATCATCGGCGGTCGATTCTTCCCAAATGGGAAAGGTGAGTTGACCAAATTAAACAAAAGAAATAACTTGCAAATTTTTGATAAAAAGAGTCGTGGTTGTCTGTGCCAAGCGCAAGCCAAAAATTGCGTAAAAAGCTGGAAAAATATCTGGCATTATTTGGGCTAAGTGTCACTATAGTAATGCCAGTCTGTCGGGAAAACAATGGGCACTCCATCGCATCGCAAATCGCATCGCCGCCGAGAAAATGAAGTGTGTCACAGCAAAATCGAATTGCTTTTCACTCCAGTGACGCTATTGTCGAGCGACAGGGTGCTCATTATTTTCCCGACAGACTGATATCAGTTGGCCTAGCATCGTATTGTTTGCCATAGTCCTCATTTTCTTTCCACAAGGAAAACTGATTCTTATCGTTTCAGCCAGGACGCCACGTTGTCGTCAAAAGAAACTTTCGACCCGAGAGTGACCCGCAGTTCTCCTGCTGCATCAAACTCAATCTTCATGTAAGTAAAGAATATTCGAAGCATCCTATTTATGTAATGATCTCTTTCAGCTCTCGGTTATCGTCATTTCGTCGATCATGCTGCCGCTTTGTGTCGGCGTTACAGCTTACTATGTTGTGACATCGCTTGCCAAATTAAGAACTTTCAATCCGAGAGTCTTAGACGATTTTGGTGCTGCATTTATGATGATAATGTCGTATGGATGTTTGTTGGTTGGAAGTGTCTGGCGAATTGAGAAACTTTATTGGGCTTATGCGATTTTCTCGGTAAGTGAAGCCAAAATTTCAAAAAAATGATTAAACCCCCGTTTTGGCCGAATCTGCAAAATTTATTATCTAACAGGGGAAGTATTATACTCGCGCGACGCTCAGATTTTCTTTAGATTTTGCACATACGTCGGGTATGGACTAAATATCAATTCCTGAAAGTTTTAGCTCGCGCTTTGCGGGCGCCGCCGAGATATCGAACGATTTTTGGCGCCGAGAGAGCACGCTAAACGTGGAGAGCGGTCAGAGAGAAAGGCGGTTTTTGGCCATAACTTTGGCAGTTCCGTGCGGAAAAATTTGATTTTTTGTAGAAAAATTATTTTTTTATGGTAGAAATGGGCATGAAACTTTTCGAGCCGAAGTTCGGCAAAAAGTCGTAAATTTTCGCCGACTTTCGATCTAAAAATCACGGTTGTTTCTGCAAAGCGCGAGCTAGGATTCTCGCATTTATCTTAGAAAAAATTATTCTAAATTTGCGCCAAGTTTCATCAAAATCTGAGCGTCGCACTTTGAGTACTTCCCCTGTAAGTTTTTTTTACTTCAGGCTTTGTTTCTCATAATTACATTCTGCGCGATGGGCGATTCGATTGCCCATGCTTGCTCACTGCTTTTGGGAGACCTCCGTGTACATACAACCGAAACCGGCCAAGAAAACAACACCTCCGCAGGACAAGAATATTTGGAATATGTGATGGTCCTTTGTTTCATCACATCTGTGCATTTTTATTTGTTCTACATTGTCTGGAGGGACTACAAGTTTGTCAAGGAGTACCCGAGGAAGAAGAAAGTAGTAGAGAATACTGAAAGCGAGAAACTGCTCAATTAAAATTCGATTATTTTGTGGAATAAAATTGGAATTTTTCGAGGGGAATAAACGATTTTTAAAAATTGGTTCTACGATGTTTGAAATTTTTACAACGAAAGTCAAAGGTTAAGATTTTAGAGGCCCTAGAAGCCAATTTTAGGCTGGAATGAGCCTCAATACAACAACTTCCTTCTATAACGGACATTTTTTTGCATTTTGCGATTTGTTGTACAGAGGCTTTTCATTTATCTGTTTGTCGGGAAAATAATGAGCACTCTGTCGCATCGGAAATCGCATCGCCGCCGAGAAAATGAAATGTGTCTTTGCGCTCACGATTTTCCCGACAGACTGATACTACTGGCGCCAAAAAGTCCATAGAATTTTTTCGCCAACGTCGCACGGTGCTGCGCTTGGAAAAAAGTGCATCCTTTTTTCCAAGCGCAGCTTTTGCTGTTGCGACCTTTTCCTCTGCAAAAGTCGCAACGGAAAAAGAAGAAAAGCATTGTGCACGTTCTATCAGTCTGTCGGGAAAATAATGAGGTCGCTGCGCCAATCGCGTCGCTGTGAAAAGCCATTCGATTTTGCTGCGACACAATTCATTTGCTCGGCGGTGATGCGATTTTCGATGCGACAATGTGCTCACTATTTTCCCAACGGACTGATAAAGGCTTTTTTGGCATGTGCAGCACCATCCTGAACTTTTTCAAGCCCTTTTCGCCTATAAATTCCCCGAATTCCTTGCGCAATAAAACGCTTCTCCCGGCGATGATGATTTATTTTTTCACTTTCCAACGAGAAATCCACGGATCCTGATAGTGGATATGATTTGTCATTTTTTCACTTCATAAATCAAGGGTAGCCGAGGAAAGAAGCGATGATTTGGGTGGTTGCTGACAAGACGGATCAACGTTTTTCTCGATCAGTGCCGATTATTTTTGTGGCATTCGGGCTGAAAGTGAGATTTGAATAAGAGAAATTGGTGTGATTAGAGTGATTGGGGGAAAGGCTGGGGAATTTTTTTATTTGATACAGAAGATCGGAGCGTATTTTAAACCAACTGGCAGAGAAATAAAAATCGATTTTTTTTGAGAGTTTCCTCTTATAAATTCAGGAAAAAATTAAATTTCTGAAAATGGGTGGTTTAGATTTTTATGAAAGTTGGAATGATTGTGTGACCCACGGCGTAAAAAATATCGTATTCTGAAAAATATTTTTTTAAATTTTTTCAAAAAAATTAGTTTTTATATATAGATTATAAAATACATATGTAAATATGGTATGGCAGAATGGTAGAATACCAATTCCTATGAAAAAATAATCTTTTCCACCAAAAATTTAAAATCAAAAAGCCTTATCTCTCTGCCCTCCTCATTTTCCATACTATCTCGTATGCAACTGCTAAGATATCGCCTTTTAAAATACGGCTGCATCATCTTAAAATTCACTCCCAAAACTTGATTGTTTCTCAAAATTTGTTTCCGATGCGACATATTTTTTATACGCCTTTCTTCTTCGAAGCTATCGATGACTAATCATTTCGTTAACGAATCACTTGTTTAATTGGTCGATTACTCGTTTAATCACCGTTTTAAAAGATTAATAGGATTAGTTGAGTCATTTTTACATTGATTTTTGCATAGCAGCTTCAGTTGATCTTACTGTAAATTTTTTAGTATTTCGAATTTTCAGGCAGAGGAAATTCTGGGAATTTGGGGCTCAGAGTTTTAGGCGAGCTGTCAGAAGTTTTATAATTTTTTTAAAGAATTATCCAAGATTTTTTAGCTCGCTATTTGCAGGATTTTTTAGTCCAAGAGTCGGCGAAAACTTGAAATTTCTCAACGAGTTTGCGCATGCAAATTTTTAATTTTATTTGGACTCCAAAAAACTGGACTCCAAAAAGATATTTTTCCCCATACAAGATACAAACATTGCCAATAACATTTATTCTTGCCAAAAGAATGTCTTGAAAGCGCAGGCTGAAACTTTTAGGGAGTTTCATTTATCAGTCTGCGCTGCGATTTTTTCATGCGACAGATGCTCATTATTTTCCGGACAAACTGATAACTATATATTCCAAAACCTACATGCAAAATTTTATGAAAATCTGAGTGCCCCACCTCTAAGCGTAAGCTTGTTAAAAAATTTTAATCTAAATTATTCGACAAATATCTTCAAGATTTTACTGTTAAATTTTCCCTTTCCATATTACGCAACAGAATCCTTTTCCCACTAAAACAATCTGCTTTCATCGTATTCTTATATGTTATTCCATCCCAGCCCTCTATAATAACATGTTTGAATGCGGATAATCAGCGAATGTTGACCTTCAAACTTGTTTATGCAAGCCGCTTGCGATCGCCGGAGGGCCCGTTAATTAATGAATAAAGATCTGTTTTCCTGACATTTATATTATCCATGACCGCAATCATTTATCTCCATTTTATGGAAGGGGGTTCGGTCTTGTTAATGAACCGAAGAAAGCGGATCTTTTTCCGAGATTTGCATTACGAATGGAAATTGAAGCGGGCGGGCGATCAAGACGAAAGAATGATGATTTTAGTTTAATTCGAAAATTTGGGAGAACCAAATTGGCGGGGCTGTGGGTGATGACGAAATTTGGAGTAATTGGGGCCTTTTTGTTTGTTAAAATACGTTTTGTCATTTTCTATTAGGGTGTCCCATAAGTCTTGCAAATTTTTGGGTCGTCGACTTGTGCGAATTCTTGTAAGCTTTGAAACGTATTAGGGAGTGTGTTGGATATACTGGGTTGAAGCTCAGATAAAGCGCTTCTAAATGGTATATGATAAGGCAACATAAGGTTCACCTCCTACCCATACTGCCCCGATATTATACTAGACATTAAGAAAAATTTTGCCAGCTGATTTTACAATGGATATATGCTTTGTAAAAATAGATCTGTTGGCCTTATGGGACACCCTAATATTTTCAAATGGAATTCCAAAGATGAATAAAAAATTTTCTACTGTTCCAATTACGACGGAGAAAAAATTTTGATGACATAAGAGGTACTTACTTAAAATTATTTTACTGTTTGCAATTTCGTCGACTTTGTTTTTGCGACAGGATATGAGAAATACTTTTTTTTCATTTTGTTTCCTACACAGAGCGATTCAAAAGTAGGAGTACTTAAAATACGACAATCTTAAGCCCTTTTTCGTCAATTATTGTTAATGTTAACAGAAAAATATTTGGGCAGAAAGCAAGATATTTGCAGAGAGTTTTGTTTCTGCACAGTGCCAGTAGCAGTACCAGACTTTTGAATTGTGTCACGGCAAAGCCAAGTTTCTTTTCACTTCAGCGACGCGGTCGGCACTGCGAAATTGTGCTCATTATTTTCCCGACAGACCGATCGTGTCCTGAAGTGGAAATCAATCTGATTTTGCCGCGACACAATTCATTTTCTTAGCAACGATGCGATTTTCAATGCGACATTGCGTTCATTATTTTCCCGGCAAATTGATATCTCAACTTCCTTTGTAGAGCAAAAGCCAAACTTTCAGAGAATTTATTATGTAGCCGAGGGACTTTATTATGCGAAATTTGCGGAATTTTTGAGCGCGAAAGCGTCAGCAACTCCAATACGAAAGATTATCGATTTTTTGAGATTTTTTGATTTTGAGTTTAGACGTTTTCATTTATTTTTTGCTAGTAATTTTTCATCTTTTTATCATATACAATGATTAGATTACTTAGACTTTGTTACCCCAAAAATTTTCCCCATTCCCGATCCATTCTTTCGTCATTTATCAACCCTTCTTTCCCACTGTCCTTCCCGTCTGAAGACCTCTGTTTAATTTTCCAATTGAGCGCGTCTCGAAAAAACAGTTTCTCCGTTGACTTTACAGTGTAAAGTGGAATAAAAATTTTTTGTTTTGTTATCAATGCCAAGCACCCTTCGCGCAGGTGGTCATAAAACTGTTATAAAGGGGTAATAAAAGGGCGCTTGAAACAGAGAAAAATATGGTATTCAATTAGTCATTTCGAAGGGGATGAAACGACAATTTGTCTCTTGTTCTTCGCAATGAAATATGGCGATGATTTTGAGGTGACTTGAGTTAGGAGGTACGCAAAGTTTTGGGGTTTTGGAAATAGGTCATTTACTGTCAGCGATGGAAATTGATGAGTATTTCTCTGATTTTAAAGCTAAAATTAGGAGGTTAAATAGCTGGATAGCACAAAGTGGGGAAAAAGTTCCTTATTTTGGCCACAACAAAGGTACTCCGCGAACTGCGCCCAAGCTTGGGCACTAAAGTTAGGAATAAACGCTTCGACCAAGCTGGCACTGAATTACTCTAATAGCTCTATAGTTTTAAGGGTACCTACGAAGGCTGTGACACCCATTTAGTTCCATACGGAGGCAATAAGTTCAGTTCCGGACATGTTTCATCGTATAAAGTGTAAAATCACAGGCTGCAGCCGTTTTTGAAGGGTAAGATGGTACGTAAAAAAGAAGGTACCTCACTTTCAGTCCGGGCATTGACAACGATGAATTGAGCGTGCACGCTAAATTTGGGCTAATTCCGACCAGTTTCCGCAAAGTTATAAGTTGTGGCCAAAATAAGGAACTTTTACCCAAAGTGGCTCCGGATTTTTACACATTCTACCAAAAAATATTGAATTTCTCGGAAATTCAATGGGTAAAAGTTCCTTATTTTGGCCACAACTTATAACTTTGCGGAAACTGTTCGGAATTAGCCCAAATTTAGCGTGCACGCATCGTTGTCAATGCCCGGACAGTGGATTTAGTTAGTGAGGTACCTTCTTTTTTACGTACCACCTTACCCTTCAAAAACGGCTGCAGCCTGTGATTTTACACTTTATACGATGAAACATGTCCGGAACTGAACTTATTGCCTCCGTATGGAACTAAATGAGTGGTCACAGCCTTCGTAGGTACCCTTAAAACTGTAGAGCTATTATAGTAATTCAGTGCCAGCTAGGTCGAAGCGTTTTTTCCTAACTTTAGTGCCCAAGCTTGGGCGCAGTTCGAGTACCTTTGT